AATTTGCCAGATCTTGTTCCTCTATTCCTTCTTTGCGGCTGTTTTTTTTTTTCCTGCAGGTCTGTTGTTTTTTATTGTACTGATCAACTCTCGTTATTACCTCTTGACGTCCGAAAGGAAAGTTTATTGCGCATGAACCTTACTTGGACATTGAGAGATGCTTCTCTTCAATTGCTTCTCAAACTTAGATTTTTTTGATATTTGCTATGAGAAATAAGAATTTTTAAAAGATCATTGCTTCAAGATCTAACTCATATTAGAATGGCTATAGAATAAACGTGTACAGAGCTTATATGTTTGGTTTTTTTTGTGAATTTTTTCTATTTATAGTCTACGAATATAACAATTTTACCACTTAAGTTAGTGTAATTAAATAATTCTGTTGTGTGGTTAAGTGCTGATCTTTCACAAATGCTTATGCAAATATTTTCTTTGAAGTAATAAGTTTTATTGAATTTGTTGCCGTCTTTCCAATTTTTCCTAATTTGATCTCATTGTTAGTGGTTCTTCGTTCGACTTTTGTGAAGCAATATTTTGGTACATTACAGTTATCCCGAAGATATTTAGTTGTGTACTGTTATTTCTGTTCATAACTCAAGTTGTATCTGACAAGATGTGTTTTTAAGTGTCAGTCGTTTTACATTTCTGAGACAATTTGTTTAAATTCATTTAGTTGAGAGATAAACGTAGCTTTGGTACAAATTCTTTTTTTTGTTTTCTAGTTGTGTTGTTCTAATTTCGTTTGTTTTTTACTTCTTGTCTTTCTGTTTTTGTTCCTTCTTTTCTTGATAAGTACCACTAATGTATCAAAATCTTGGAAGAAAATAAGTTATGGCCATTGTAGCTGTATTTTGGTATATGTACATGTTGTTGGTGCATTTTTTCATTTTTTCACTTATTTAACATTTTCATGCGATTGTCACGATGCATTTGCAAATGTTTGCTTAGTTTTATGTTGTAATGCAGATTTGGTTGTACACACAGTCATTTCAAGACAGTGTTGGTTGTTGGTAATTACATTTGTATTCTTATTGTTTTTTATTGACATGAAAAAATTTTTTGAGATTTCTGTTTATCTACCTGTATCCACAAGGTACTATTGGTACAAAACAATCCTCTCAATGTCTTTGTTTAGTTCAAGGGATTCGAATTCCATCGTGTTATTAGAAATTCACATAATGTTTACATGAGAATGATACCGCACATACAAGAAAGGTTAATAAAATTTTAATTAGTCGTGAAGTTTGGAAGCTACGAATAGTACTTAAGACGGACGGCTGGTGCTATAAGCTAAAACTAGTTTTTTAAAGATTCTAAAGTTTTTTCTTGGAAGAACCACAGAGGCACAGTTTCTTAATAAATGAAAATGTGGGGAGTTAACAGCTCTGCACAGTTTTGCCATGAATTTTCCATAAAGTGGTGAATATTACAGTGAAACCCAATAGCAAATGTTAGGTTGGTTTCTTCCACGCTGTTTTCTGGTCTTATTGATTTTTAAAGCTGATAATCTGGTTGTTTTGGCAATTGCTAGGATATCCGTGGACGTAGTGTTATTTTTACCTCACAGTTCAAGGTGGACAAAAACTGTTTCATTGATTTCTCGTTTTGGTGGTAATCGGCTTCTGTAGCTTGGGTTTGCGAATGATAGAAGATCTTATTGGTTTCTTATGATATTCATATTTGCTTTTCATTTTACAAGTACAGTGGGAATGCACAATAAAAATTGATTGTTCGATGGCAGGGTCATAGTTTTGACTTGTTTTGACTTACTTTTTTGAACTGGAATCTGATGCTTTTGTATCGATGGTGGCAAGCACTAAAATAGTCAACGAAAGAGTTTTTTACCGAAGAGAGGTTGGTAAAGATGGGGATGTCATTCAGATAACTGTTGAACAATTAAATTTCAGTGACAAAACATAGTGTTGAATAATTTATCTTCACAATTTTTACAGTTTTGTGTGCATTTAGTGTAACATCTGATTTTGCCAGTGAACGTTGTGCAGTTTACTAAGTGCTCTAAACCAATTCCATAAAAAATACACGTAAAATATTCATTAGGATTGAAGTTGTCACTATCAATATTTTTGTTAGCACATCAGACATTTTGATCTATTGTAATTTTCCGCGAACAAAATGTTTAACTTGAAAGTAATCAAAATGTTAAGCTTTAACTAAACAAATTGAGCTTCAAAGAAATTACTGTATCAATTTGTAAAAATTTTTTTTGTTTTTTTTTTTTGTTTTTTGAATACATATATCTATAAAGCTTTTGTGACATGAGCTGTAACAGATTCTCCACTATTAATTCCTAGATTTTCTGTGGAAAAACAATTTTGTTTTTTTCGTTCTTGATTTTTTCTTAAACAATAACATTTATCATCGTTTATTAGCTTTACATCCTGCTTTCCATTCTTTTTTTTTCTTACTACAACACTAGTTCAAACTTCAGTTGGATCAATGCTTTTTGTGGCTCTTTCTTAAAATTAGACTTGGTAACGATTACATGGAAAATTAGAGATATTATTTTGTTCTCTATAAATGTCACCTTAAAAGATGTTTGAAAGTACAATTTTCGCTTAGAAAGAAGGAAAGAAGAGAAAGCAACAGCAGCAGCTTAACTAATAACTTTTGAACGTCTACGGAAATGATGTTTGACAAATTTTTATACTTGTATTATTTATTCGTTAGCTATCAATTGATAAAGATTAAAATTTGGGCCCCCTTGAATTTGTTAAATACACTTCTAATCGTATTTTATTAATTTTATCTGATTTAATTGAGCAGCTATTTTGGCTTATATATGTATTTTTTTAGCAATCTACATGCATTGGAATTTTTACCTTTGTACTTGACCTTTCAGCTTCTTCTGAACATTGTTCAAGTTTTATTTGAAAGATCAGACAGAAAAAACACCAAATGTTTGTTTTAATATCAAAAAAAAAATTCGTTGGTAAGTTTGATTAGCTGACATAAATTGCCTATACGACCATACAGTTTACACGGTTCAATGGTATTTTGCTTAGCTTTCATCTTTTTTTTTTATCCTTTTTTCCCATTTGAAAGGCACTACAAAAACAAATTTGAAAAAGAAGAACAGAAGAGAATTGAAATGTTTGTCTGGTTTTTACATATACATATATACTTTGATGTATTATATATGTATATGCAAAGGTATGTATCGTTTTACGTATTCGTTCATGACATATTTCCTTATCAGTGTCTTTTTTTCGTTGTTCTCTTCAAATATTTTAAGCCAAAATATGCACAAATAACATGCATTATAAGTGTTTGTATTACATCGCATTATGAATACAAATTGAAATTTGGATAATAGAGTTACTGTACAGTACCGTTGGCAGATTTAAATTATTTAAATGTCCGTACAGCGGAACAAAGGGTTGAAAGAAGTTTTTAAAAAAAAATATCTGCTTCTGTATCGAACATGTATCGCTGGTGGATATCAGCCCATCAAATACAACTTATCCAGTTGCGGTATTTCCATTTCCAATATAACAACAGTGAATATTTTAGTTGAATTTACAGGAACTACCATTGAAGGGCGCTAACCTTTTAGAGGCAGAATTACTGTCTGATCTTAGTTGCCAAATTTATTTTGTACGCACTGCAAAAAGAATCAGCGACTGAATTCGGTGTGAATTTTAGAGTTGATATTTGTCCAGTGTTCGTCTTTTATTTTTCTAGATTTATGGATGGGACCCTTACTGCGGAAATCATCTATGATTCTTTTCGAAGTCTTAAAACTTTACGAGTAAGGGAACTGTCCTTAGCTATTGTTTTCCTTGGTTTATCACATTCAGTTTGTTATGCATTTAACATTTGAAAAGTTTTCATCAAGAATGATTTTATGAATTTTTTTTTTTTTTTTTTGCTAATATTTGTATAATTTTTGTCGCCCAATATTTTTACTTTCAAATCCTTTAGTGGCTTCAGTTTTGGCAAGGTTAAATTCTTTTCAAGAATTCTTCTCATTAAAAAAATCTTTTTTCTTTACCGTTCAACTGCAACATTTTCTGGTTGTTTTGTCAAACTGATGGCTTTTTTTTGTTGGTGTCTGTACACAAGCACAGCTTAGATTAACAACAGCAGATTTTGTTGATTTTTTTTATTTCTTACTCATAAAAGACCAGTGCTATTTTGTGGAAATAAGTGAAATTTGATTTACTTTGGTACATCAAGAAGGGTTATTTAATTTTTGAAATTTTTATATTTGTTTTCATTTTTTTCTTGCTTATTTTTTTGATAACAATGGACATATGTGACTTGTTTGGTCAGTTGTATTATAGTGGAATGAGTGACCAGTGGCAAAAAAAAGAAGAAAAACAAAAGTTTTGAACAAAGGCCAAAAGGAAAGGAATGTTGGCGTAAATACATATTGTGCGTATGTTTGTGTATGAGTGTGTGTGCATTTATGCCTGCATGACAAGGGCGAAGCTTCAGTTGGTAATATGACTGGGTTGGTGATGGCGGTGGCTGTTTGAAATCAATGAAACACAAGCAGCTGCAATAAGTGGACAAGAAAGGCAAGCTGATTGTTCACATTGTTGAGACGTCTTCAGTGGCTGTCTTTTTAAAAAGGCTTCCATGGATAAACAACCATTTGTTATTTGTATTCTAAGATGCTCAACATTTGTTATTTTGTTGTTGTTGTTGTTGTTGTTGTTGTTGTTGTTGTTGTTTACAGAGCTTTGTTGATTATATAATTCTTTTGTTTTTCTCTTCCTTGTTTTTTATTTTGCTTTTTTTTCCTTTATTTATACTTTTAACACTTGACATTGGCCTGCTTGATTCATCTGGTACTACTTCTGACTGAACCAGGATTCAGTTCCTTATTTACGGATGTAAATGTCACGCCGTTGTTTCGCCGTCAATGACTGCTACTGTAGACAGTTTGAATGTTGCTAATAATGAATTGTAGAGACATTGTGGTTTCTCAAACGATCGTTGAGAATTCTTGTTTATAACTTTAATTGGTTGTCAGTATGCTGCACGATAATCTTAGTGTAAATACGCCAACAACATCTTCAGAACAATGCCAGTGCATCAATGAAGCGTTACTTCGGATTTCTAATTTACGGAAGATTCACATGACATTTGGTAATTTCTTTACCTGAAACAAATCTTTCTTGCCTAGGTTTAGTCATTCCAACATTTATCATTTTTTTAAAAAAAAGAAAGGTTTATTTAATGTTTATTCTATTATTCCCTTCATAGCTCTATACATGACACTCATTTGATGAATTTATTTTCAAGTGTTTTCTTCTTTATAAATAATTTGATTTAGAAGGCGAAATCGCTTTTGTGCATAACAAAGAACGTAAATGGGCTAAATTATTCGCTGACTTTATCCTTGGTAATGCTTTTTGTAACGTCGAAAAATGTATTGCTCACAGTGACGATATGTTGTGGTACGTGCTATTTCAGCGTTTAGCGGCACAGTCGTTCACTGTTGGTTCTGTGGTAACTTACTAAAGTCTTGACTCGTTGCTTTATTTCTCAGCAGTATTTATTTGTCAAATTTTGTTGGATATTCTGCGTTTAGCTAGTGAATTTAGTGTGACCAATTAATGGTGTACCGAAGACAAAGCCCAAATAAGCCAAACATAGATGATACTGGTATTAACTGGGAAGAAACTGTTTGTATTAACCTTATTCTTGGCCAAGTAATTGCTTGAAATGGTTATTATTAAAAAAAGATGTTTTGATTTCTGAATATTTTTTTTCTTTAATGCCGCTAATGGTGAATGTGTTTTTATTTTTGTGTGACTTGAAACTATTTCCTAATTTGCTTGAAAAAAGACGTATGTGCATTTTAGCTGGACTTTCATGTTACCTGTGCCGTCTGCACTAAAACCAGCCCACAAAATCTTCAAATTCTAAGGAAGAACTGCCAAGTAACTTATATTTCTTGAATGAATATTAAAAGATTCACTCATCCAACATATTTCTCCTGAAGTAAAATTGTGTTTATTCTGTTTTAGCGGGTATATCCGTCTCCTAGCAAACGAC